GCTGATAATAACACAAAGCTCTGAGAAAAATTTTGAGATGAGTATAGGAACGGTTTGTGAATAACGAGGAGAGGCGGGCAAAGCGGCTAAAATCCTATCTAATCTTTGCCATTATTCTGTTGAATGGATGTTGCCGCGGACTGCTAACTGTGTCTACACATGGTGTCTGTTCTGGTTCTGGTTTTCTGATATGCATATCGATTCGTGAGTATTTTTACACGTAGAATCCAATGTTCACGTCAGGGAGTCGACACATTTCGATTTTTTCGATTTTATATGGAAAATTGACGGTTTTTCGGGATTGAAATTATTATTGTTTCATGAAAAGTAAATGCACCCAAAATGACTATAGCATATTGATTGTTACATATTTGCACTCAGGAAATTGGTTGGTAAATTCAACGAGTGGATGCATCGACTTGGTATTTTAAGTTTCTGCAATTTTTTAAGATATTCGGGATGTAGATTGCTTACTTTCAATTCATGAATGAATAAAGCATGGACATGGTTGAACTTCTTTGCATGGAAATACGTTTAAAGTAACAAAATCAAGACATATCTAATGCAATTACATTTATATCGAGTCAATTTCTTTTCAATAATATAACGGGATTTATAATGCCGGTGATTTGGGTATTTTAGCCCCAAAATACCTTTAAATCGACTTTATCTTTCAGGAGTTCGACAAAATTTTTTCTTTCTTCGCTTAAATTATTACGCAGCACTTTTCTTTAAGAATCTGATAAGGTTTTGCTTGGGGCAGATCAAAAAACTTAAACTCGTTCGAATGGCTTTTAACATTCACAATACACGATCTCGTCAAAGTGCGTCGTTGACCTCTCAGTGTTGGATCGTATGAATTCTCTTGTTGTGCTACTTGCCTATTTTGAAATCTCTGTAAATGAAAACTAAAGGGGTTGATATGTGCGAGTTAATGACGCGCCTTATCAACACATTGTGTTGGAGTTCACTGCTTGTTTTACATTTGGTGCACTGATTCCAAAGTGACATCAATTTTTCGACACCCACTGCAAGAGAAAAAATGACGTTACTCATAAACCAGTGCTTAAAATTTAAAAATTTTAGCTTTTTGGAAAGCTCAAAGTATTCTGGTAAAGAAATTATTACCAGTTTTATTTATCTTTATTTGTTTTGGAGAACAAATAGATGTATAGGTACTTACTTCACAAATGCAACTTGATATCGTTCCCTAGATTTTTCAGATGAGATTTTTTTTTTTTTTTTATCCTCAAATTATTTTTTCTCCACCAGTTTCAATTTGCATCCTCCTTTTCCGACATCATTCCCTGAACATGTTTCTCTACATTCAGTAAAAACTCGATCCACAGGATTTTTTGGGAAGTGACAAAATATAAAAACGTAAAAATATATAAAACTTCCATTGTTGAAAGTTTCTAACCTGTTGCTCAAAGTTCTCACAACACTTTATAATCGACCTCAAAACTGCAGGAATGAGCGTCTTGTTTGTGGAGTTTCAAAATCTTTGCTTCCATTTTATTTTATCTTATATATCTCAAATGAGAACAAGCCAACGCTATTGCTAAAAAATGTCACAAAATACTCCTTACGTAGAGAAGAATAGTAAAAGAAAAATTTAAAAGATGATGATGAGTAATATTCCTTTTAAAACATGATGTATGACCTGAAATCTCCAGTGTTTTAAATAAACGCATTCCTGCTTTTTTAACGTTCCTCCATGGTTTCATAGCATTGATGAGATAAGATGTTAGTGAATGGAGCATTTTTGATCAATATTGAGTATAATTGTGTCTAATTGAGTATATTTTTTTGGTCCAAGTTTTGAATTAAAGATGAATAACTTCATTTCAGGTGTTAATGAATTGCTGGACATGGTCTGCTCTATTTCATGCACGGGATCTACCTTTTAATGAAATAATGGACTATATCAGTGCTTTTGCAGCTATTTTATTTGGTTTCTTCGCTATTGGTTACAGGTAACAAGTTGGATTATTTTTTGCAAAAATTTTCCCTCTTTAAACTCAACATTTAGAAAAGAGCGGTTTTCTTAATGCAATCTCTCATGTTCTCGACTTTTGAAATTTACTTAAGGCTCATGAAAAGGTTCCTCTCTTTGAAGCCATGTTTTAGGGTCACTTACTTTCTTTCTTTTTCGCCTGATGAATATTTTGGTTGTCACTATTTAAACGATGACCATTTCGGCTTCTGTGGAAGCCATCATCAGGTAATTAATAAAAAACTAACAACGAAAACAAAAACAAAAAACCGAAGCTAAAACCGACGTAGTAACCGAGGTAGTAACCGAAGTAGTAACCATGTTTTAGGGATTTTTAAAGCTTCCTTAATCACAGTATAAATCATATGGGACCTTCTTTTTGTTACTATTTTCAATATCACACAAGGGGTAATCTTCAAGTGATTCTAAGGAAAGGAACTGTGTAAAAAATGACTTTGAATACCACCCTTGGAATAAAACCAACAAAATCTCATCTCTCAATTTTCCTCTCTCTTCTATCGTCTTGAAGATATGAAATCGGGAAACAAACTTTTGGGTTTACCCTTGTACTGCCTTCAAGTGTTTTGTGAAATGAATGGCCAAAAAGTAATGCAAAACCAACCTAAAAATGTATACTTTTTGTTTCAGAATCACTCAATTCTTTTCCCCTTTTACTTATGTCTTTCTCTGTCAAGAATGACTTTATATTTGATTTTTCATCTCTATTTAATTTGTTTTTTTTTTTGCAGAGTGTTGTTAAATAGCCCATCTCGTATTTTGTTCTCTATCTGCTGTCTGTTGTATTTTCTGAATCACACATTGTATCGAACATTGGATGAAAATTTTGACTATGCTTACAATATGAAAGCTAATATTGTTCTCTGTAAGTACTTGTAACTTTGATATATATTTATTAGAGATTATCATGTAGTGGAGTGAAGAAAAGGCCAAATTTATTCCTCTTTTTAGTTCGTCTCTATTGAATCATGCAGGTTTACTACATGTCAAGACACCATTTTAAAGCATTCACCAATAGCCCCGATACGTGCATATTTATAATTTGAAAGTCACATTTCTTGCTGTTCCTGTCAAAGCTTCCCTTTGTTGGTGCAGCAAATTTTAAACTTTTCTTTCTTGATCACGGACTCATAGATTTTCCACTGACAGATCTCAAGGCCTGTTTTTTCCTAAAAGAATTAAAAGTTACAAACTCTTGCAATCTTTGGCAGCAATTATTTTAAATCTCTAAATACTCCATCAAATCTTGCAATGCAATATTTTGAAGGGCATTGTGGTGGCTAAAACAGTTCTCAATCATCTGTTGTTTATGAAATTGCCATGGGCCAATCTAGCCTCAATTATTTTAATACGTCTGATAGTAGAAATCGGTTTTTGCCCTTTGACGAAAGGAAATCAAAGCTATATCCAAAGACCCAATGTATTATCATCATAGAATGTTTTTCTACGTCTGCAAAATATAAGAGAGGGAAGAATTATTGATTTTGGTGCAAAATAAATGTTTGCACAATGAATGTAGTGTAGTGCTTACTAAAATCATGAAGTAGTCCAGAAAAATGAAGGAGACCAGAAACCTGAAAAATCTCGAAATTTGTAATCGGAAAAAAACATCAGCGCTCTTTACACAACCAAATTGAGTCTCAGTCAGGTTTAGGATTAAATGCTTTGAGTTACACTCTGTATAGTGAACAGAATTACCTACAATTTTTAAAAGGATATTGTAATATTTATTTAATTGGATGATCAATACTTCAAGAAAAAAAAACTGTCATTTGCAGAGAAATTCGTGCCAAAAATTTTTCATTTTCAGTTCAGTTGTCAATGTGAAAAGTCAGAGAATTTTGATTATTTTGAATCAGATAAATCTTGAAAAGTCGTGAAATTTTTCTTTAGAGTCTGTAGACACCCTGTTTATTTTCAACATATTGATGTATATGACCTTTGAAGGTAGTTTTTGATTTTTTTTGTGATATTCTTCGTTTGCTTTTTTTTCAGCTATCATGACGAGTATTATTATCTTCGCTTGGACTATTAGAGAATGGAAAAATCTGTATCATGTTAGATATGCACTTTATTATATGATCAATTTTATGATCGCTGCAATTCCAGAAATTTTAGATTTCCCACCAATTCTGTGGCTGGTGGATGCTCATGCTCTGTGGCATATCTTATCAATACCTGTCACCTACTTTCTATTTATGTAAGTTTCTACTCTGAGAGTAATCATTTTAATTCAAAAATTTTTTTTCTCATATTCTTAAGCTTTTAGCGGCTCTGGTGCTTGCACTAGAGCTGCTATTCCGGACGGTCCCAGCTGGGGAGTATCAACGGACCATGTTACATTGGAGAGACCGCGTGTTGGTTGATGGGAATCGGCGCCATTTTCTGCTGTTTAGGGGGGACTGATTTTATTTTAATTGATATCTTTTTCCTGTGAGCGAATGCTATGTTGTGTAGTGTATTTTTGGAATCATGGTGATACTGTCAATAATTCAAAACGGGTCTGTGCTTTAATCTCGCACTGGAAAAAATGTACTTTACGTTTAAAATTTGAAAATTCAAATCTATAAGTTTTCGCGCTTTTTTCGAAGAATGCCGTGGTTGGAGCTTCCTAGTCATACTACTCGACATCAGCTGATAGCAAACAAAGGTTACCAAGGAAACCGTAAACGCGTAACAACTACCTACCGTCGCCAGAGCCGCTTTCCGACGCGAATGCGTTGGAGCTTCCTGCTTGTTTTTTGTTCTCTGCCTAATTTTAGGCAACTGGCAGTAAATTAGTGAGGAAAAAACAACAAAATTTTCAGGGTCTCTGCAGGTTTTTGAATTGTCATAGAACTCTTCCAGGGAAATCAGGGGTAATTCAGGGAATGACATGAAAAAGAACGGAATTTTGAAAAATTGTAACACTTAAAATCTGAAAAAATATTACTAATGTCCTTACAATAAAAAAACTAGAAGTTCACAAGCCTCACTTGAGCTTCACTACTCTGAGTCTTACTTTAAACAGTTACGTGGGCAACTTTCATACATCTCTCATTAAAACTGATTTTCAATTAAGCTAATCTTTGTTCAGTTGAATTGAGCTGATCTTGGTCTCAATCAGTGTCTATTGATATTGTCTTACAAATGAAACTAAGATCAACTCAACAAATGGTTCAATTTTTTCATTATAACCCTAGTTTGGGTCACTTTGAGACGCATTATGCATAAAAAAGTCTCTTCTCATAAAATTGCATTGCTGCTTACTTTTTTGTTTTCTTTATTTTGATTTTTTTTTACCACTTTGATGGTACACAAGGTTTTTTTTTTTTTGTTTTTATCTATTTTCTTTTTTAAAGAAGTATTGCCTGTATGTATCTTTCATTTGCCTCTTTAAGTGGGAGCAAAGAGTAAAGCATAAGAAACCCTTTTACTTTTAACAAACATTCTATAATGTCTCTTAAATATTGTACGTCGTCTTTGTAAGTCCCTACAATTTTTCTGAAGTTCCTGAAAAGATCTGAAATGTCGTGGGTTTCATTAATTAGATCTCCTCAGTAAGTCTGAGAGTCCTTAATTTTGATATCAAGAAGCTGCCCCTTAACCAGGCATTTTTGTCTTCAGACATCATCTTCTTCTATTTCCCCTTAATTCACTACATGTTCAATTTTCCCACATGTTCACTATCCCAGTCACAATCTCCCCCAAGTTCTCACTTTTACTTCTTTTTTTCAGGTATGGTGTTGAGGACTGTAGATATTTGCACAGATCGAAACTGCATCTCTGATTTTTTAAACTTACGGGCCTTGTCATTGCCTGTCTAGCTAAAGCTCAATATCTGATCAACATGCTCCGATAAAAGACTTGCCCGGAAAAAGGGCGTACAAGAAATAAGCCCCATCTCAGTATCAGCCCTTTTTTAAGGATAATCCTAGTTGTTTTTTCACCTCTTTTTGATATATTTTGTATGAAAATGTATTTTTGGTGCTTACTTTAGTGCTCTTTTATAGTTTTTTGTACCCACTCAGCCTTCCAATTAGTCACGGTTTTTTTGTCTGAGGCATCACTTTATCATTGTTAATATTTTTTACTTGTGTTTTTAAATTTTAGAATTTACCACATAATTGCTAATGTAATTAGAAACACAATCAATTCTTAAGCATGAAGTATACTTTTTGTTCACCTTTCCCTCGGCTTTTCGTTATTAGCAGAAACTAGCCTCACACTGATCACACTAAATTTTGATTACGGTTTTGAAAATGAGTGTATTTCAAAAGTTTTGCCCCTCTTTTGCTTATTTAATAGTAAATGGACACAGTATATTGATTGGAATGTCTATTGAATATTATTTCCAAAGAGAAAAGAAAAGAAAAAAATTACTTCAAACTGTGCCCAAAATTGCATGAAGCTTACACTAGTGGATTGAGTCATATAATCAATTTTGTAAGTGTTGAATATGACTCAAAAATTGGAAGAAGAAAAACATGGCCACCAACTGAATCTGAAAATCGTTTATTTTCTTTATAAAGAAAATCAACTAAATCAACTTAATCTAAGGCAATTTTTACAAATTAAAGAATAAAACAAACTTGGCAACTTCAAACCATTCAACCCAACATGACCAATTTCTTTGGAGATCCTATCTCAGCGTCTTACTCTGTCAGACGGTTCATTTGCAACCAGTGGATCTGGAAAGTTGGCAACGCTGTTTTTCCTCTGTTAAAAGGTCTGGATACACGCTCAAATTTCCATCAATTTCCGATCAAATGGTGACTGGTGCGCACCATCCACCATCAATTTTTTGCGGCCTGCAAAAATTTGATGGTAGAAGATGGAACTGTGGGTCTCAACCGTCATCAGATTTCCGCACAACCGTGCTTATTTCATGCTTATTATTCCTATCAACATGCTGTTTTAATTAATTTTAGATAACTCTCGATTGCAATTTTTGTCATCATTTTGATCGGAAATTTGAGCGTGTATCCAGGTCTAAATGTAGGCAAAACAATCGATTCGTGATAAGGCAAATTGCCTCAACCAAAATAAATCGGTATTTTCAATGGATTTAAATAGAGGTTAAACAGTGTTTCCAACTTTTCAGAATCGCCACCACACAGACTTACATATATTGATATAGAGATTTTTTTCTCATGTTTCATTTGAAATAAATTCATATTAACGAACTACACTGAAAACGTAAAACTTTCTCATTGCGTTGAACAGTAGGTATTCGTCCCAACGCATTCACGTGTCTGACGCCGCCGTGACTGTACTGTGGCCTTGCAGCTGTAGTAGTATGAGAAGTGGATAGTCGGAGCGCCTTCATTTTTCGCGTAGGCAACATAGACAACCACTGAGTAGTAATAGTTGTATTCAGAATTTTCACGTTCCGTATGCGTATTGTGCTGAGCGTTCTATTTTCCGTCTAGAACACGAACAGGGAGCATTACTTACATTTTTGTTGATAGATAAACTGCAGTGTGCAGTGTCGTTCATCTGTTTGATGCAATTACTTTCCAGCGCAGCAATTTTTAATGATAGCTTTTGCTCTAATTTGGACTGAGAAAATATTACGTAATTAACTTATAAATGGAGGAGTCAAAGGCTGTGTCACTGTCCGTCACTGGCGTGCTTTGCAATATATCGATTGCTCTACCATTTAAACCTATGGGAAAGGGTCGATAAACACGGTATTCGCAACGAACACCTTAATAATCGATTCTGTACCATAGCTTCAAATGGGTGGATATCGCTAATCGATCATTCATGCTTCGCCACTCGCGCGTTAGGAAAAGGGCTGAAGCTAAAAGTTACTGATTGACTCAATCGTTTCTAATCGTTTAGTCATCTAATTAATCCAAAAATACCGAAAAGTAAATTGCTAAAACATTAAACTTCTTGGAACCATGCCCAAGAGACAAGTCNGGGGGGGGGGGGGGGATACTGGGTCCCTGGGACCGGGCCCGGGCCCCGGAGGGGGCCCGTGTTACCCGTGAAAAACGACTACGAATTCACATGCAACCCTTGTTTCGTAAGAAAAAGTGAAAAATTTACCCTAAAAATTTCGCGAAAGGTGAATAGATTTTCAGAAACACGCTGGGGCACTGTAGAATTCTTCTTAAATTTTCAAAGATGTATACTTCTTGGAAAATTTGTATCTATTTCCAAGATTTTCAGTACAGAGGGATATTTTTAGTAAGTGCGCGTTTCATTTTCTTCCGTCGTCAGATGCTAAGAGTCTCCAGTCTGGGCTTCCTCGAATTCAATGGCTCATAGCTCAACTCCCTTGCCATAGACAAACGAAGGGGGAGTCCAGGGGGGCCTGGCCCTCTTAGAACTGAAAATAGTATCATATGCCCCCCCCCCCCAAAAAAAAAAATTAAAAATTAAATTTTCCAGATGTTTTGAATGCAACAATTCGCAAGTATTTTGTGCTGAAAGTAGAAAAAAAAA